AGCCATCTGCCTTGTATTTCCTAACACGGAGGGCTGAGGCTCGCACTGAATCTGTGAGCTCCTGCCTCCCTCTGCTGACAGCATCCCACAAACCTCCCCTTGACTGCAAGTGATAAAAGGCTGGGATTGCTTTTCCTGTTCCTAATGTTCCTCCGCATGTCCCCAGCAATGAACAGAGCATCCCTGGAGCTGGTGGATATGTGCTGCCCACATCAGACTCAGCCCTGTGGTGTCGCATTGTCCCACATGGCATCTGCCCCTCAGGTCCCACGGGAGCTCTCCATTAACACCAAAGTGATCCAGAAATCCTTGTTTAAGGGAAAACCTCCAAAAGCTGGAAGGCAGAGCCTTAAAGATGGTTGCTATAAGTTGAGAGAAGCAAGCAAGGGCCTCTGGCTGGCTCCCTACATGGCAGCTGGTGAGCGGCAGACTATTTTTGCTGAATTTTGATTTTTTTACATGTGTTTCAGTTTGAACATGTCTGTAACACGTGGCACAGCCTTCAAATCATCCTTAGAGACAGCTACTAAGTAAAACTGACCATGGGAGCTGTGAAACATGAAGGGTTTAGGTTTCTCTTCTCTTTTCACATGCAATTTTCAGGAACCCCGTGTACTTGCAGCAGAGCACATCCCCTTTGCACATGCAAAGGCAAGAAAAGTCCAGTGTCAGCTTTGCAGGATTAAACTGGAATAAATCATGGCTCTTCCTCTGGGATGGAGGCACAATGCTGGAAGTCCTCGAGCTGGTTTCCCTGTCATGGTCTGCAAGAGCCAGGTGACCCTTCCTATAGAGGGAGACAAACACAACTCTTGTGGGACAGCAGAGCGGGATCTCAGTGTCATGAACATCCACTTTTTCCTCTCCCAGGGCATTTCCTTGGGTTGGGGGCTGACAGAGATGAGTTTAAAGTCCATTGTCGTGCAGAAGGTTTGTTAACCAGGACTTGCCAACCAGGTGAAAACAGTTCCTGGGTCCTCCAGGAATTCTGGCTTTCTTTGAAAGCCAAATCGCATCCTTTCATAATAAAACATGCCAAATAGAACAGCCAAAGGGCCATTGCGGTGGTAACTGGAGGCTGATTTAATGGTGCAAAACCCAATTACCACCCTGTAATCACTAACGGCTCTGTTGGGAAGCTGAAACCACCACAGGGAAGGAGACAAGAGAGTGGTGGCTGCTGGAGCTGTGACCAGGATAAACAGCAACAGAAAGCCAGTGCTAACAAAGAGTTACAGGATACATTGGTGCATTGGGGAACAGGCGATCACTTGAAACAACACAGAGCATCAGCAAGCTGGATTGATGAGGAGCTGAAGACAGCGTTGCCTGCACAGATGAGTTACAGACTCCACCTTGGGCCTCCTACAGCCAGCTGATGGGGGATGGAGGCAGCAGCATCAGTTGCAATGATGTATAATTAGCTTTGGGATGTGTTACAGTTCTCATGTATGTGCTGAATTGAATCCTTGCCCAGAGAACCCTCATGATGGCCTTTAGGATAAATAAACTACCAGACAGGAGAGAGTTTTTTTATGAGTCTGTGGTGCTGGTGTTCTGAAAAGGCTCCAAAGCTCTCTGCAATTTATGGGCCAGATGCACTTCTTGGAAGCAATGCCAGGACTGTTTCTCAAAGCTGGAGCTCAGCTTGTAAACCTTGGAACTGCTCTCAGAGCTGTGACAAATGTGAAGCGCCATAAACAAGAACAAGGGAAAAGCACATTGTGTCCACCCTGAGCAGAACAAACCTCTGCAATGCACACACGAGATTCATGTGATTTCCTCTATTAAAAAGCAGGTCAGCTTTTATTTCAAACTTGATTTCACTGAAGATCTATATACTTCAAATTACAGAGGGAAGTGAGCCAGTGTTATGGGGCATCAACACTGTGGAAGTCATGGATGCACTTGTTTTGAACTGGGCATCAGCAGCTTGTCTTTATGCTCAGACAATAAAACTTGATTCAATTTTTGCATCACCAAGCAAATGGAGCACATGTCCTTTCAACTGTCCAATTCCACAGGGTAGTAAAGAGGGAAGGGAGGATCCCCAAAGCAAGCACACCAAATGCACCCTATTCAACGGATGGAGTAGGATCTGCTGTCAAACTGATTTATCCCTGAGTTTGTGCTTGTGTAAAGAGGGCTTCAGGCTGAGAAGGAAGTTTAGTTTCCAATTCCAATCCCCTTTCCCTACTTTATGCTATTTTTCACAAGTCAAAGAAACTCCATCTTTAAAGCAATGGGATTTTCTGCTCCCCACAACTCTGCCTGGAAGGATGTCCTAGAGCTGCTTCTACTGAAACCCCCCAGTCTGAACACCACACTGCAAGTGCATCCTTCACAGGCATTTGCTCTTGTGCCAACATAACCCAGTAGCTTAAACATTTACCTCCCTCTCTGCCATTTACTCCTCCCTGTGCTGCATGTAAAAACCACAGCGTCCCTTTTGCAGGGCTAACCAAGCCAAGCTTTTCAGTCCTCCCCTGGAAGACAGGCCCTTGTGCCTAGCACTGAGTTCCTCCCAATGCCTGTTTCAGAACAAAACAGCCGCTCCTGAGCTTGAGTGGCCAAATGGATGAACCCATTCCAGGTGGGATCTCACTGGTACCTGTTGCCATGGCAGAAATCACTCCCTCATAACATCATAGAATGGTTTTGGTTGAAGGGACCTTAAAGCTCATCCAGTTCCAATCCCCTGCCACAGGCAGGGACACCTTCCACTAGAGCAGGTTGCTCCAAGCCCCTGTGTCAAACCTGGCCTTGAACACTGCCAGGGATGGGGCAGCCACAGCTTCTCTGGGCACCCTGTGCCAGCGCCTCAGCACCCTCACAGGGAAGAATTTCTTCCCCATGTCCAATCAAACCCTCTTTCACTTTAAAACCGTTGCCCCTTGCCCTGTTACTACAGTTGGCAAGTAAGGAGTAAGGAGGGGAGTAGTTGGAAGGGAGGTTTAGTAAGTTTGCATCCTAAAGAGGTTGAGTCAAGCACAACCCTCCCGCCTTGGCCAGAAATGTGAAAGGAATCTTGAAATGCCCTAAACAAGAGAGAAATGATTTTGTCTCATGGAACCCTCCTCCTGTAAACTGTGTTTCTCAGTGCCACCAGCTGACACCTTCACCTCATCTGTTAACTGTTTATTGATGCCGCTTATGTCCACATAAGAGTTTGCGTTTTTCACCACAGTTCATATGTGTTTTGGATTTGTTCTCAATGACGGGTAATTAGTGAACAGATGTTGGAAGAACACTGTGTCCCTGTCACACAGAGCTGTACCTCCAAGCATAGACACAGTCACAACGTGAGGAGCTCCCACAACCACTCCCTTCCAATGCCTCATCACATCACTGACCCTCAGCCTTTAATCCCATCAGAGCCAGGGGCTGCTCACGAATAAACCAGTGCTGAATCACGAGTGCGCAAGCACCCATAAGGTCTCTATGTGTCAAGAGCACTTGGCTGTCAGGAAGCCACATGGGATTTATGCTCCTGAGTGGCTCAAGATGACATGGAGAGCCTCTCCACTGAACCCTGAGACCCTCCAAACCAAACACTGAGCATGGGAGCAAATGCTGGAGCGGCACCGGGGGACTTTGTGACTTCCCACCCGGTCCTTCAGCTCAGGATGGAGTCAAGCTCTTGAGGATCTTCCAGCATTGCTCCAGTTTAATACCTTCTACCACTGAAGTCAAAGTGGCACTTTGGTCTTCCAAGTGTGTTGACTGCCAGGGGATGAGTGGGGATGGAGTACACAGGATGTGCCCTGAGGCCAAGCACCTAAACCACTTCACATTCAAACCACTGAGAGGTTTTGTAAGGACAAGTGACTGTGTGGCCAGGATGGGAGTTCCATCCTGCCATGGGCAGAGCCCCATGGGGACCTGGGTGACAGGGGCAGCTGTATCTCAAAACAGGACAACTGTGGATACCTGTGACTGGTTTTCTCCTTTCCGGTCATTTTACCTGCAGGTCCAGCTTCTGCATCTTTTATACCCAGCAGGAAGGAAACCTCGCTGGTTGTGCCTACTGAATTACACTGATGTGCCAGGCTGGACGGGGCTTGGAGCAACCTGCTCCAGTGGAAGGTGTCCTTGTCCGTGGCAGAGGGCTTGGAACTAGATGAGCTTTAAGGCCCCTTTCAACCCAAACCAGGCTGGGATTCCATTTCATCTTCTGAACAAGGAGCACCCTGCAGAGAGGTGTGAGTTAGGTGAGGACAGGGTCAGAGCAGGAACACCCTTGCACTGCTGTGGCCCAGCACAGGGACAGTTGCTCCCATGTACCCAATTTATGGAGGGAACACATGTGGATGTGCAACTGGGAACATCGAGCAAGTCCAGTTTCAGCTCTGCCACCAGCGACTGCTTGTAAAATAAAGTGAAAAAATTAGAGGGAAAAAAAAAGGGTAAATAAATAAATAAAGAAATAATAATTAAACCAAATTAAAATAAAAAATGTATTAATTTTTATTTTAAATTTAAAAACACAAAAAAGGGAAAAGTAAGAATAGAGTAAAATAAAATAGAACAAAAAGTAGAATAAAAGAAAAATTAAATTAAATGAAATAGAATAGAATACAATAAACCAGAACAGAATACAGTAAAATAAAATCTTAATTTCCCCGAGTATCACCCCCAATGGTGAGATTCGCTTAAATTACACAGCTCTGCTGAGTTACACCCCACCCCACCCCACCCCACTCCACTCCACTCCACTCCACTCCACTCCACTCCACTCCACTCCACTCCACTCCACTCCACCCCACCCCACCCTACCCTACCCTACCCTACCCTACCCTACCCCTACCCTACCCTACCCTATCCTATCCTGTCCTGTCCTGTCCTGTCCCGTCCCGTCCCGTCCCGCCCCGCCCCGCCCCGTCCCGTCCCCAAGGCAGCAGTTCCCGCGGATAGCTCCTCGTGACCGCGCGTAAACCCCGCTCTCCCCGCCCCCACCTCCCCTCCCCTCCCCTCCCGGCGGCGCGCGGGTCGGGGGCGTGTCCGTGCGCGGCGGGGACGCGCGGAGCGGCGCGGGGACGCGCGGAGGGCGTTGAGGCGCAGCATGAGGGAGCAACCGTCGCCGCGGCGGCATGGAGGGGTTCACCGGCCGCGGGTACGGCACGGACGGGCTCAACAACCGCCCGCTGTTCGGGGAGACCTCGGCCAGGGTGAGCGGCGAGCGCGGGCACGGCGGGGCCCACCGGGACACAGCGGGACCCCAGCACAGCCCCGGGACCCCCGGAGACAGCGCCGGGACTCCCAACACAGCTCCAGGACCCCCAAAGAGAGCACCGGGACCCCCCAGACAGAGTCCCACAACCCCCAAGACAAGCCCCGGGACCCCAAACACAGCCCCGGGACCCCAAACACAGCCCCGGGACCCCAAACACAGCCCCAGAACTACCGGTACAGCCCCGGGACCCCCAGATAGATCCCGGGACACTCCAATAGAGCCCTGGGATCCCAAACACAGCCCCAGGACCCTCCAATAGAGCCCCGGGACCCCAAATACAGCCCCAGGACCCCCAAAGAGAGCACCGGGACCCCCCAGACAGAGTCCTGCAACCCCCAAGACAAGCCTCGGGACCCCAGACACAGCCCCAGAGCAACCACTACAGCCCCAGGACCCCCAGATAGGTCCCGGGACACTCCAATAGAGCCCTGGGATCCCAAACACAGCCCCAGGACCCTCCAATAGAGCCCCGGGACCTCAAACACAGCCCCAGGACCCCCAGTACAGCCCCGGGACCCCCAAACAGAGCCCAGGGACTCCAGCACATGGACCCTGGCAGACGTCTTTTTACAGACCTCGCCCCACAGCCCTGGTGAGGAGCAGGGCCTTGGGGTGCAGAGAGCGCCAGGTGTGGGGGACCCCCGGGAGGGGCTAGGGTCACCCCAGGCTGTGGCCCCCCCATAGCAGGGCTGGGGGCTGCAGCACCCTCGGTTGTGTGTGCCTGGGTCTCGGCCATTGCTTTGATGGGGATGGGGTGCAATGGGATGGGGGCTGTTTGGACTTTCCAAGTACTTGGAACTGCTGCTACAACGCTAATGTTTAGTAGAAATACAAGTACAGTGATTCCAGCTGAATTTAGGGGTGAAACAGGAATGGTGTGGGATGGGAGGAGGACAGGGGGGACATGTGAGAGGATCAGTGGAGTGGGGATGGCTCTGACAGGGAGTGCTGGTGCTAAGACAACCTTTGCTGGAGCAGTGCCCTGTGCTGGGGCTGTGGTGGCTGGTTCTTGGTCAGGGATCTGGGGAAGTTTCCAGGGATGGGGACTTCAGGGACCGGGATGTGCCATTGGAGCGGGCAGTGATTCCAGCAGCAGAGACCCCAAACTCTCCAGCCCAGGTCAGGCCTTTGATCCCTGATCCCTGTCTCTATCAGCTCACAAAGTAAGTAATAAACATGGGATGCAAATTCCAGATCCTAGGCTGGAATGGGGATCTGATGTCCTACATGTCATCCGCTCCTGCGGCTGCTTTTGGAACCCATTGTATAGGCCCAGTGGTGGCCATTCCTGTGTCCAGTGGACATAGGCTCACTGTGCTGGCTGGGGTGGTTTCATCCCAGACTCCCTTGGTTATAGATGGATACTGGTGATGTCCAGAGCTGGAAATGTTCCATCTCGGGAATGGCAACACTGAACTTTGCTGTGAAGCAGGAGCAGATTTGCTGGGAGAAGTGTGTCTGCCCATGACTGGCTCTGCTTATGCCTGCAGGCGATGGCTGGTGCTGGCACACCAGGACCCTCTGCTTGGGCTGGCCATGAGGCCACGGGGATGGGCAGGGGCAGTGTGTATGCCCCAGGCACCCAAAGCAGGGGTCTTGCACCCTGGCTGGCATTTGGACATGGATGTAGAGATGGGGATGCCCTGTTCTTCCCACCCTGTGTCCTTCTGGTGTCCATGCTGGTGGCTTTGGGGCTATAGTGGGAGCTGTGCAGTAGCACTGGCTTCCTTCCCTTGCCATGGTCCGGGTGCTTCACCCTCCCATACTGGCTGCTGAGGCACTGGGGACAAGCTGGTACCGAAGGAGTCTGGTGGGATGCAGGAGAGTAGCAGCAACGTGGTGCTGATGGATGCCAAGCACTGTGGATTCAGCTGTGGTTACAAGAGATGCAGCGCTGGCAGTAAGCAGGTATAAGGTGATGCAAAGCAAAGGCACAAGCAGTGTAAGGTGGCAGAGATGGAGCGTTGCAGATGCAGGACTTAGGAAAGGAGTTGGAAGCGGGAACTGCTTGGGCTCCTCTGTGATGGGAGCCTGTAAATGTAGGTGGGTGGGTGTTAATTGCTGTGGGTTGGATGCAGAAAGCAAAGGGAAGAGCCTGAGCAGCTCGAGATGGGAATGAGGAGCCTTCGAGGGCACAGCAGCGTGGCCCTGAGCAGAGCTCTTTGCACAGGGAGCATACGCTGTCTGCTCTTCCATGTCGTTTGGCATGGGATCACGGTGTTCCCTGTGGCTGGGATTGCTGCTGCCCATCTGCACTTGCTCAAGTAAGTCATAAAAATGGCTTCTCCATCATGCCTGCAGAGTACCACCAGGTACCTGCCCTCCAGAACCAGCCTGCACCCTTCACCAGGCTTCTGCCAGGGCCTTGTTCCCCACGGGAACAGTGCCCACAGGACACTAACCTGGAGGATGCAAGGTGCTGAGCTGGAATGGGGTGAAGAGCAAAGCTGTTGCTCTGTCAAAGCCTGTACAGCGGGCACAGTGGTGCAGATACACCCTCAGTTTTCCTGTTGCAGCCATGACCCAGATCCCAAAGGATCCTGGCTTGTGCCCTCCTGCTTTGTGAGGATGCTTCCTGGCCTGCCTCCCTTTCCCAGAGGCAGCTGGAGGGAATCTCTGCCCCAGGACAAGCCTGATGCCTCCAGCCACTGCAACACCCTCCCTGGAGCAGGAGGAGAGGCAGAAAACCTCCTGTGTCGAAATGCAGCTTGTGCAATGCTGGAATTCATCGCCTGTGGGGAGCAGCTTTGTCCCAGCTGAACTGGGACCCCCATCAGCTGCAGGGCTGGGTCAGGAATCGGCATCCATGTGTGACCTGCGTCCTCACTTCTCCTGTGCATGCTGCTTTAGTCTTTTCTCTATAGCAGCTACCATAACACAAGAGATGGAGAACAAACCCTCCCTGGATGGGAGGACACTCAGCTCCTCACAGCCCGTTCCTGCTACCCACAAGTGTCTGCCTGGGCTGTCGGACACAGCATGGAGGTGAAAGGCTCCGTCATCCCCAATCCCTTTAGCTGCCTTGGCCTCTGCTTGTGTATTTTTAACCTTTTTGCTGTGCTAAGCTGCCTGGGGCTGAAGTGTCACTGGGCACTGAGGAATACAGCCACTGGCTGCTCTGCCAAGCCTGGGATTTCAGGATCAGTGGCTCTAATCCGTGGAGCCTGAAATACCTTCTTCTGCTGGTGGAACGTTGTAGTGACCACAGGTGTAAGCATGGGGAAGGGGATGCTCTGACCTGCAGGGGCTGGTTGCCACTGAGGGCATCTATTACTTGGTGGTGTGGGATAAAGGGTTGCTGTGCTGGGGGGATGCTCTCATTGAACACCACATAAAATAGGCAGAGATAAGTGCTCTGTGGTCACCTCTGGGTCCAAACCCCTCATTTTCTCTTGTCAGACCAGTCTCTGTCATGGTAAACAGGTTGAATTCTCCCCATATTAAAATTGTCACCATCCAAGTCTGTAGTTAATTAGGAGAAACTTAATCATGGCTGAGTGTCTGGTGGTGTATCCTGTCCATAGGTATGTGACCATGTGTCCATCCCTCTATGGCGCCCTGGTTGTGATTTTGCTCGCTGGCTTAGCCGTAGTGGATGGTGACCCACTGCTGCTCTGCAGCTGGCTCCTTGGCTTTCCTGCCCCTTCCTCTGCTGTTCAAACACCATGGTACAAAGGGAGAAGGGACCCAGGTGCTCACCTCCTGCCACCCCTTGTGTTCCTGACCTGCTGAACCAGAATGCAATCTCTGGGCCCCTTCCATAAAGCCGCCTTGTTGGGCTCCACTGGGTCTGCAGAGCAAACCCGCTGTCCTCTCCTGATACCAGAGTCGGTTTTGGGGGTAAGGACTCCTCCATGTCTAGATTTAGTGACATGGTTTAGTGGTGGCTTTGGCAGCCCTGGGGTGTTTGAGGATCTCAAAGTTCTTTTCCAGTCCAGTTGATTCTATGATTCTATGAATGTATTTCAGTTCAGGTGGAGGAGCTCAGCTGAGCTGTCGTGACACGCTCCCATGGAGGTAGGGTACTTGCGTTCCCCTGGGTTTATTTCTCTTGGTTTGTTTTGGGGGTGGTGGGTACCTTGTACATGGCTCCACGGGGCTGTTGTGCTATTGCCAACACTGTGTATGGAGATACTGGTGAGGAAAAGGTGTTTGTGCCTGGCTAGTGAGGACCTCGCACAGGGGATGCTGGTGATGGAGTCACTGCTGCAGACACCACTGTACCCCCATGGCTTGGGGCTGTAAGAGCACAAATGGGCTGGTTTTATGCCGGGGTCTAACAGAAGAGGTTTTAAAGGGTCTGCTGCTGGCTGTGGTCCTTTACTATGGGGATGAACACAGCATCTGCCTGTCACTGAACCGCAGGCTCAGGTACCTGAGCTCCACCGAGCCTTAGGTCAGGTCTTGCAAGAACATCTCTGCTCTCTGCCTCATCCTCTTTGCTCTCTGCTTTCTTCTCCTGCCATGTGGTACTTCATAACCTGGGGCTTCTACAACTCTTCTTCCAAAATGCAGTGCTAGGAGGGAATATGGATGCAGGACCATGAGGAGGGAAACCTGGGCTGCCCTCCCTGCCGGCTGGGATGTCTTGGGCAAGATGCTGTCACTGCTTGAACTCTTTTCTCCCTTTCCTTTAACCATACCCAACTAATGATATAACTAAAGATACAATCTCAGTATAATTAATTGAAATTCTGGGGGTTTATTCTCTGCACATCTTTCCTGCTGTAGCTGCTTTTCTAGTGTTTTATTTGGGGTGTTACACCTGACTGAGTGTAACCCGCTCTGACTTTGGCCATAGATGTTTATCCTCAGAGCAACACCAAGAAGAAAGGGAGGAGGAGGTATCCCAACAGGGGTGGGAATGTTCTCCTCTTGCATCAAGGCATTTTTTTACTCCAGTGAATGCATCACTATGGGGTCCTGCCCTGGGCACTCACACAGCTGAGTGTCACTGCCAAACCTGATGCCATCTGGGGTGGGATCGTGATGCTGACACCGAGGGATACCTCTTCCCAAAAGGTTGTCTCTTCCCAGCCAAGTGTTTTATGCTCATGGAGAACCACAGAAAGAAGTAGGGGGGAATACATGTCCATCCTAGCAGGGCCCCCTGAGGTGTGTTCAGGTCTGGTGGTGTTGGGGGGGGATGTTTGAGGTGCAGGGAACATTCCACCTCCTTGCCACAGCCCAAGAATTCCCACCTCAGACAATATCAAGCTATTAGTTCTGAGGCTAAAATAAGCTTTTTTGACAACCTCCATCTGTCCATTCCCACTTTTTAAGAAGGATTTGCATAACTGTAATTATTTGGATGCAGCAAAGAATCCAGTTGCCAGTGAGCAAACCTGCTGCACAAGGAGTCAGAGGGAGGGAAACCCTCCTGCGTGGCACAGCTGAGCAGGGAGCCTCGATGGTGCTGCTGGGTGTGCTGGGTTTCACATGGGTCCTGGCTGATGCTGTGCTCTCAGTGTGGTTGGTTACCAGTCTGTCCTATGTGGGTGTTTTTGGCACGACAAGTGTAACCATCCTTTCTTCTCTTCAGGACAGAATCATCAATCTAGTTGTTGGCGGCTTAACGTCCTTGCTGCTTGTTGTGAGTATCCCCCATCCCATCCTGTGTTTCGTGCCTCCCTTAGGGGATGGGCTAAAACCCAGAGTTCCTCCCCAGAATGGGTGGTGACACTTCACTGACCCAACAGGCTGTAGTCTGGGGCCCAGGCTGTCCCTTTGAGGCACATCTGTATTTTGAAACTCTTTGATAACAGGAGAAGGACAGTACCTGACGTCAAGCCATGTTTTAAGATCTGTCTGCACAATAAAAGCCCCAAGTCCATGGGCAGATTGTCCTTCCCCAGCTGGATCTGAGGCTGGGCAAGTGCTTATGACCCAGCAGAACATGTTTACTTCTCTTTACTTCCTTCTACTTGTAATTTATTGCCCTCTATTTATGGCTTATAGAAGTTTTTCCAACTTGTCACTCTGCCGAGCTCTGCATTCCCCAAGCTTTAAAGACATTTAAAGACAAACCCAGGGCCATTGTGACTGGAGAGCACCAGTTCTGTGGTCCATGGTGGCACCATCGTTTGAGAGAAGGCATGCCAGTGGAAAGCTTGGCTAAGCGATGCTCCTACATGGGCAGTATACACCCCCGTGCCTGCTGGCTTGCTGGGTGCTTGGAGGATGTATCCAGCAACAAGCCAGAGTAGCAAACCAAAGCTTTCAGTGTTGTTTTCCACCGCTCTGAAGTCTGTAGTTGTGCAAAGTGGTTTACCTCCTGAATTTTACATCTGCTTCCAGCTCTTCACGGGTGGGAGTTAAAAAGCAGGGAGGGAGGTAAGGATGTGAGCGCTGTGGTACACCAGCATCCTCACTGAGAGTCTTCATCTGTGTTTGCCTCCACACAGGTAACTCTAATCAGTGCTTTTGTCTTCCCGCAACTACCTCCAAAGCCTGTGAATGTATTTCTTGCTTTCTGCATCTCCTTGTGTTGCATCTCTGCTGGCATACTTGTGAGTACCACCAAGTTGGCTGTGTGAGCTTTTGAGTTGGTGAGAGGGGATGAATCTGAGTAAGATCTGCTCGATGTGGTGCCACCTTTTCCACACTCTCCTAGAAAGCCTTCCTGCCTCCATAAAACAAGCTGACAAAACTGTGGTAACAGTTTTGCATTGAGTGCAGAGTAAACGTGTGGACTAAGCCAACTTCTGCAGAGCAGCAGTGATGCAAGACTTGTCACCTCTGTGACAGTGACATCTGTAGCTGCCAGTGGGTACATGAAGTAAGAAGCCAGGGAGCAGAGCAGTGGATTGGGAACAAAGGTGGATTATGCTGCAGAATACCCGGGGTGGAGCAAAACACTTGAACTTGAAGTGGTGGGGCCAGCCAGGCACTTGCAGAAGTCAGGCACAGGGCATGAGTTGCAGTGGTAGGAAGCTACAGATGGTGGCTTTTCATCAGGGTGGTACCAGAGGTTCCTCTATTCAGCAGTTGTGGCATCCCAAGAGAGTTGGTCCTAGGCACTGGCAAAGGGAACTGGCAGGCCAGAGTTCATAGAACAGTGTGGGATGGAAGGGACCTTCAAAGACGTAGTCCAGCCCCCCTGCCATGGGCAGGGACATCAGTGGCTCCCTCTGCTGTAGCATTCACACTCGGAGCATTCTCCTCACCCTGCTGTGACCTAGAACAGTCACAGCCCCGAGCCTCTGCCCCTCATTGCTGGATAAGCTGGGAAGTTGCTCTGTGGTGCCTGGTAGGTGCTGGGTTCTGGTTCACTGTAGCCATGCCTCTGCCCAAGGTAAGACAGTGCAGTGCAAAACCTGATGTTTGTCCTTATCCACCAGCGTGTAGCCAGTTTTGAGTGTTTTAAAAAAAACAACCTGCCCACCTGCAACAGAGCTGACAACACAACCCACGTCTTCATAGCTAACCTGGCACCCTGGTTTTGCAAAGAGCCTGTTTTGGGGAGAAACACCTTGCCAAATCCTTCTTTATGTGTTCCTCAAGCATGCTAAGAAAACAGGTGGTATTTTTTCATTTAATTGTTAAGAGAAGTTGCAGGATTCTACACCTGGTCCTCTCTAGGCAGGTGAAGCTCAGTTGTTTTAAAAGGCAAAGAAAGGTCTCTAAGTTGCCAGTTCAGTTACCACAGAAGGTTTCCTCAGGAGTACCTGGCCTTTTAAAGTAATACAGACTCCTCTCTTCTAGATCTACTGGTATCGACAAGGAGACCTGGAACCTAAATTCAGGAACCTGATATACTATATATTGTTTTCTATTGTCATGTTATGTATATGTGCCAACCTGTACTTCCATGAAGTGGGTAAATGATGGACATTGGGAAGCCCCAGCAGTGATGCTGAGGCCGTGTCAGACTGCTTTTAGCTCTGCTCGAGATGTCGAAGTGAGGACTATCAGCCTGAAAGGCAAGAAGTGGGTTGTGCAAGGATAAATCAGTACATGATTTTCATGTAAATGTATATGTAATGTCCCTCTTGGTCGGGAGAACTACTGCCGTAAGATGTGACATTCTGCTTTCTTTTGAAGAGCTCTTGTTGCGCTTGATGAACATTCCAGTTGTGCTGATGGTTCAGAATGGCACAAGCTTTTTCATTTTGGAAAAACAAAACCCCCTTCATTTTTTATGACTGTACAAACTGCAGCACTGCAGAGGATCTGTAGCAGTACAAATAAATGGCATCTTACAGTTCCATAAGACAAATACTCTTTATTTCGTTGAAACTGAATATACAGTTATTTCTGTTCCCTAGGCAACCATCTGAAACTACAGCTTATTTTTCCTCATGTTAACAAAACCACAGACTGAAAAAAAAGACCCACTTTGGATTATGAAGAACTAATTACGGAAATAAATAAAATAATTTATACAGGAGTCTTTAGTTTCTGTAGCTTTTTCTCTCGATTCCCTAGCTAAAAGGCTGCTGCTCAGCCTAGTGTCTGTTTCAAAACCTTGAATTACTTGGCTTCCTCTGCCTTGGGGCCCTATGCCCAGCTCCTCACAGAGCTGTTTCTCCAAGACACCCTGACACCACCCCCCATCCACTAACTTGCTGCAGAGGTGACTGGTAGTGTCATGTAAACAGCGAGAGAGAAACTGTTCCAGCCTACTCACTACAACCTTCAAAGGAGTTACAAACTTGTGGGGGAGGCTGGTGGGTCCCGGTAGCTTCCCTTTCACACAGCCTTCCCTTTTGATTGAGCTTGCTGTAGTGATGAAGGAAAATTAAAAGCAAAGAAGAAGGAGATTTTTCACAAGTGGTCTTTCTGAGCTCTGCCTGTTGCCAGCAACGGGCTCCTCAGGAACAAGCAGACCTGGCAAGTCCCATAAGCTTCTGTGTCTTCTTCCTAAGCTGTACGTGCACTGAGCCAGGTGAGATGGGAATACAAACCATTTTTCTTCATGATGCTGCCCATGCTCCCTGAAGTCTCTGATGGAATATATTTCTTCCTGAAATGTAACAGTCTCTCACTCCATGTATCACAAGAGTCAGTAAGTGCAGAAATCCTCACCCATTCTTCATGAAACGTGTGCAAACTAATTCTTGCTGCTGCACTGAGGCTACAGTCCACGATCTTTGACTTGCATCCAGTTTTCCAGATGTGCAGTCCAAGCACATCAGTAACGCGTCGGATCCGAACTGACCACGTGGATGCTACCAGTGAGCACTGCAACAGAGGCTCTTTAGAACACTGAGACACCCTGGCTGAGACACAGTACACCAGGCTTCAGCTGGCTGCACTGTGACCCTTTACAAAGGAGGTAACCAGCCTGAGCAGAGAAAGTGCACTGTAGTCATTTCACACTGGAAGTTTCTGTTTAAGGACACAGACTGACTCCTTTCTTTGGAAATGCGGCACAGGGTTGTAACTGATTTCACGATGAAAACATGGTCAATAGAAAACGGACACCATTTCTGCTTCTCAGTGACAACTCACTAAATCTTCAACATCCTTTGAATTTTCTGAGTCAGGACTGCCCAGCGATGAGCCAATGATGTGGGACCCATCTCCGTGATGCTGCAGGATAGGATCTGTCAAGAGACACAGTACATCAGAACTACTTACTGTGCCATTATAACAAGATGTAAAATACACTTAGCAGACAGAATTGCCATCTGGAATTTTAAACAACTTTAAGCAATATTGCTCGCACTGGGCAGTTCTCAGTTTCTAGTGTCAAGGTAAGCTATGACTAATACAGATGCAGAGTCACATTTGGTCCTATCAATCAGTGACTACTGTATCAGGCCTAGTGCTGATCCTCTGATGGCTCTACAAGGAGATCCCTCCTCTGGAAAGCAGTATTTATTAGGTGCAGCAGTGGGAGAACGTATCTGTGCTGCTTCCAAGCCTTAGACGACTCTTGGCACTGGGAAGCGTGGCACAAGCTGAGTGCTGTGCAAACACTCCCCCAGAGAGCCCAGCCCCTCACCATGAGAGGCATCAAGTGCATTTCTGATGCCTCTGGTTTTCTCTCAAATAAGAACTAAGTTTCATTCAAGCACCAGGCATGAAGAAATGCCACTAAAGAAGGAGTTACTTATTAGCCTGTATGCACTAATTTCAAGGCTCAAGGGTGATGGAAACAGTTCAGCAGCAGATGAAGCAGCTGCTGTTCCAATGCTTTTCTCACAGGGTTAAGTGGGACTTTCTTCCATTTCTCCTGCTACCAGCTGGGTAACCAACTTGCTTAGTTTCATAGCAATGACATGGAAAACTACTTAAGGGAAAGCAAGGATCTAGAAAATGTTGTTTACAGGAACTCTCAAGTGCCATTTATGAATCCTACCTCTGGCATCGACCATCTGAAAGGAACTGTCGTACCTGTTAGAGTTGTCAGGGGCAAGACTGATTCACTGTCTATATCATCTGTTGTCTGGATAAAACCATGGGAAGAAGGAACAATAAGCACAGTCTCATCATCTATCGTAGGCTGATCAACTTGTTCTTCTATCGTTGGAGAACCCAGGTCCTGCACAACACAGAAGAAGAGGATGTGAGAGTGTACCCTTGGTAGCATAAACAGAAAAACCTGCCTTGCTCAGCCACACTCCATAGTAAGCAATGGACTCCCTGGATGAATTCTCTCTCATTAAATTGAAGTATCAGTTTACCTCAGCATTTATAGAGCATGTTTCATCTAGTGCAGGCATCTAAAACAAGATGAGAGGAATTCGAACTTGTGAGCAGCATAAGTGCAGGAGAGACTGCAAGGTGGTGATGAAATGTTCCCTTTTAAGCCAAATGTTTTGTGTACAAAGAGGAATAACTAAACTTCTCCACTAATTGCTGCCTAGATGTTCTGAGATACTGAAGCATACCTTTATAGTACTTACCAGCTGCACAAACTCAGTAGCTTTATCTGAACTTAGTATTTAGTTTCACAACCTCTACATGTGTCAAGTTTTAACTACTGAACACCCAGCTCAAAAGACCCATTTTAATCGCTGGGTCTTGCCTGCCCCCTCGCTTGCTGACTGCAGGTTGGCTCCAAACTTTTTTAGCTGAACTTCATGACATAGAAAAGTTGTTAACACGCTGATTTTTAACAGGTACAAGTTGTCAATACCCCTGGTCTCTTTCAGTCCTGTAATAACTGCTCCTGCTGCCTCTTCCTGGGCTCTTGTAGTACTGCAATGGCAATAATACATCTGGCTTACTCACTGCCACGCCACACTCCATCACAATCCTGGTTCTGCAAATGCAGTGAAGACATCCTAGACAGTACTGCCAGAATAAGCAGAGGTGTTTGGATTCCAGTTTGTGTGCATGACATGCTTAAGGTTTATGATCTTTAAGGTCCCTTCCAACTCTAACCATTCTATAATTCTATGAATCACTGATGTAGAATACTAGCAAATGTTGCTGGCAGAATGGGGGGTACCTGGACTTACCACTCTCTTCAGAGGCAGCAGGAAATGTCTGGGAGAGGTTACAGCCCTCTCTGTTCAAGAAAATCCTTCCGTTCCTCCATCTCACAGGGTTTCTTTTAGGAAAACTTGTTCCCCTATATAGCTTCACAGTATTTTTATAAAGGCACCTGCCAAAAATCTCCTTCCCCAGTACTGCTGAAGGGGAGCTGACTACCTGTGCTGCAGCTCAGTGCACTTGACTTGGTCCTGATGTGCACCCATTCACACAAGGTGCTGTACACCTGACCTGCAGAAGCAGCTTTCTGCTGAGCACACTGCAGGACCTGCCCATGACAAGCAGTATGCTGCAAGGCTTGAAACTGGGAAGAGGAGGCGTGAAAAACTAAAGAAGCCATTGTGGCAAATGGGCACCTTTCCCAGCCAGAAATAAAACCCTGCAGCATGACTGCCTGCTTCCCACTACCCACACCCACAGTGACAATACTGTCAAATGCATAAAAATAACACTGACTGAGAGAAAGCAACATGCAGGCATGTCTTCTAGAGTAACTTTTCACTCAGAGTTACTCACGGCCGGTTCACTGTTTCCTATAATTTAAACACACATCAAAGTTGAATCTGACTAGAAGTGTAAAGCAGATTAGAATTACAAACTCAGTTTGTTGTACTGTATAGCAAAAAGTTTAGTAGCTCTTTATATTCTGCTTGCCGTAAGTGATTTCTACAAAGTGTAACTGGGAAGTAGGTTTATAGCAAAAATTTACTAATTCTACCTTGAGAGGCTGCAACTTTAAACTGAGAATAGAAAGCTGATAGGCTGCCCCAGCTGTTGAGAATCTCATCACAACTGTATCAACCATGAGACAAGAAAGAGGAAAGTAAACAATAATCCCCAGCTTTGGATGTATTCAGGATTCAAATGCTTCTGCAGTAGCAGACTGGTGAGAGGTACACCTCTTTGTAAAGGCATAATGCATGTGCAGTCTCTATTAGAAACTGTTTCAAAGCAGCAGCCTAACAAAGGCAAAGCCTATCAACAATGGATTTTCAAGTCTGATAAAGCAGAACTACAGCAGCTATAGAGCACTGTGGTTTAGAGAACAGGATGGGGTATTTAGTTTTAACTCATCTTTTTTCACAGTCTAACCTGCTCAAGTTTCTAAGGAAAGTATCTTCCACCTACTAAAGAGAGTTTTCTTCTTTGTAGCATCTCTATTTTCCTTGACTTACTCATTATCATAGTTCCAGCAACTGAAAGATGGAGGAATTTAGTATAAACAATCCAAATACCTGAAATCAGTGGGATAAACTCATTTCTGCATCTCATGTGTGGGAGTGGAATAAAACTGAGGGCAGAAACAGCTTAAATGCTTTGAATTCCAATTTAATAGATATTTTACTGGAGTTCGATGTTTTGTAGAAGTCCTCAGAAATGGAAACTGTGATGCATCTCTGTTACTAGTTTCACAGACCAAAACCTAAATATGCTACCT